CACGTATAATAATAATAATAATAATAATAATAATAATAATAATAATAATAATAATAATAATAATAATAATAATAATAATAATAATAATAATATGTCTGAATGGTAAGAAGTACTAGCAACAGCAGTACCAAATTTAATGTGCAATCCTATGCAGTTATTCCTGTCTAAATGTGCTGGTTTCTTAGAATGGAATACTTTTGTATAGGACTTCATTGCCAATAGTCAGGAAATGGAGACTGTGGGTGTCTTTGAAATATTTGGGTGGCATGCTTATTTAACCTCTTGGCAAGCTCAAATGACCCCAGATATAGGCCAGAATACTAGCTGATGAATTGCACTTAGCTCAGCAGGCCACAGAGTATGCAGGCTTGTTCTAGGAAGACAATAATGATGTTGCCCCCTAAAACCCTTCTGACAGACATACGTCCTCGGAAATAAGTCTGAATTTGACCCTGGGGACCAAAGGCCGGATGCAGGTTCTGCTCGGCCTCCACAAATCCACCTTGGACCCAAGGCAAACCATACCTTCACAGATGGGAACATCCCCTGTCCAGTTTCCTTTAGCCATGCACCAGACCATCTCTGAACCAACTAACTGAAAACCAGCATCACAGGAGAAGACACAGCTGGAGTTGAATGCAAAGGATCCATGTGGATGAGAGCAGTTTCCCTGGCCGTTGTCTGGAGTTCCTAGGGCAGGGCACTGAACAGCTGAATTTAAAAAAACAGGTGGCACAATTAATAATAAGAATAAGAATAAGAATACGCCTGAGTGGTAAGAAGTACTAGCAACAGCAGTACCAAATTTAATGTGCAATCCTATGCAGTTATTCCTGTCTAAATGGTCTGGTTTCTTAGGCTGGAATACTTTTGTATAGAACTGTATTGCCAATAGGCAGGAAATGGGACAGCACTGGAGACTGTAGGTGTCTTTGAAATATTTGTTTTATTTACAAATATGCAAGTAGAGCACATTGGAAGCAAGCAGGCACCCCTGAAGCACAGGCAGCAGAAAGAACAACACTCTTAGCCAAAAGAAAGGGCTTTACCCAGCTAGAAACTGGAATCTCCCCCCCCCGCTCTTCTATCTGCCTTTTTCAGTCTCTCTGCTCTCTCTCCTCATGTACTGTGGGGTATAACCTTCAAGCTCTAACAACTACCACATCCCCAAAATTGGAGCGAGATTCTGAGCTGTAAGGAGAACATCTCCTGCCATAGCTGAAATATCAACGGATAATCCTGCAGCGTGGCCAGCAATCAGCTTAAATGAAAGAATGGCCAGCCGGCAGCCACAGCACTATATACTAATCTTTGTTGTTGTTGTTCAGTCCGACTCAGTCGAGTCTGACTCTTCGCGACCTCATGGACCACATCACACCAGGCCCTCCTGTCTTCACACTAATCTTAGACAAGTTTAAAATATTTCAGGGGATAGACGTTCAAATCAATTTTGAAGTGCATTTTTCAGTAGCCATGGAGCCTATCACACAACTTTATTTACTTAAATAATAGAAAAAGCAAGTATACTATTTTGTGGTCCTTCAGAAGCAGCCTTAAAGGATCAGTTTCCTAGTGAGGGGAGAGTGCTGAAGACTTATAGAAGTTTTGTGATCTCATTTATTTACCAAGTTCAGCATCAAGGGAGAAGGAAAGTACCTAGACGGTTTAGTGTTATAATACCAGCTCTAAAGAGACATCAGTTCTGGTCTTCTGGACCATGTAGTTTAGCACTGACCTTTGCAAGACGGCAGTTGTTGTGTCCAATGTCCTACAGCCAAGCACTCCAGCAACTCTGATCCAACAAGCTGGAAACCAGCATTGCAGAAGAAGTTGCAGCTGGAGCCATATGCAAAATCACCATGGGGGTGAGAACAGTTAAAATGGCCATTGTCTGGCACATGCAGAATTGGGCACTGGGTGGCTGGAGTAAAGAAGGAAAAGACAGCAAAATCAAAGGTGCATGTCCAGCAGACTGAAGAAAATCCAGTTATGATTGTGTCCAACTGCAGTTCTCACTGCAAAAGGCTCAGAAACCTTGGCACACTTTGAGGTGATGGCTCTTCACCCGGGCGTGGGGGGATAAAGAGCGGGATATTCCACAGCAGCTGAGTTTAACAGCTGGAATAGACAAACACACTGGCCCTAAGTTACCCATGATGACTGTTTTCACATGAAGCCACTGTACTCCAATTAGCCCAATACTGCCTCCTGATAGCAGCTCATTAGCATCTGGAGTTAGAAGGCTTTCTCAGCTCTGTTCTCCATTTGGAAGGGCCTGGAATTGAACTTGGGAACCCTTATAAGCAGTGTTCCCTCTAAGTTCTCCTAGGGGGCGCTGGCACACAAAATTTTAGCTGGCTGTTCAGGTATTTTAGCTTCCAGCTCACACGCATTTTCCCCTCCATTGGAAAAATGAAAGATGGGGGCACCTCCTTCTGGGGCCCATAGAACTGGACCCCCTGGTTGAACCTTTCTGAAACTTGGGGAGTGCTTTGAGGAGAGGCACCAGCAGCTATGCTTAGAGAGAACATTGCTTACAAGCAATGTCCAGGTATCACATTTTCAGGATGAGATGCGCCAGAGCAATTTGCCTTGAGGAACCCCTTGCTAAAATATTTATGTGCATGTATATTTTGTCCAGATGGCGTCCCGGTAGCTCTATCAAGATTCCCACATTACTGAAAAGAGGCATGTGCCCAGTTTTCCATCCCTGGCATAAGTGTTACAGAAAAGAGGATATTCTATTTCGGTATCATATTTTCAGGATGAGATGCGCCGGAGCAATTTACCTTGAGGAACCCCTTGCTAAAATATTTATGTGCATGTATATTTTGTCCAGATGGCATCCCGGTAGCTCTATCAGGATTACCACATTACTGAGAAGAGGCATGTGCCCAGTTTTCCGTCCCTGGCATAAGTGTTACAGGAAAAAGGATATTCTATTTCACTTTACTGGTTAGCAAAGATCCTTGCTAGTTAGTTTCTCAAGTTGTTTACATTGCCTTATACACAGCCAAGATTACTCCAGCCCATCCCCAAGTGTGTACTCAGCACTGACCTTCACAAAGGGGTGGTTCCTCTGTCCACATTCCCAGGGCCGTGCACTGAAGCCTCTCCTGTCCAACTTGCAAAAACCCCATATCACAGGAAAAGCTGCAGGCTGAACCGTACGCAAAATCTCCATGTGGATGAGAGCAATTCAATCCTCCATTCTTGGGGGCAGTCAACTTTGGGCAGTCAATAACTACAATAACAAGAAGGGTGGTGAAAGAAGAAACCATTTGCACTAAGCCAGGACTTCCCCATCTACTAGAAGGAACAAGTCTAATTATGAAAACATGAGGAAGAAAAAATAGAGGGAGCTTTTCCAACAGGCTGAACCGTACGCAAAATCTCCATGCGGATGAGAGCAATTCAGTCCTCCATTCCTGGGGGCAGTCAACTTTGGGCAGCCAATAACTACAATAACAAGAAGGATGGTGAAAGAAGAAACAATTTGCACTAAGCCAGGATTTCCCCATCTACTAGAAGGAACTAGTCTAATTATGAAAACATGAAGAAGAAAAAATAGAGGGAGCTTTTCCAAGTTAGTATACAGTAGGCCTTGTAGGGCATCACTGACCAATAATAGGAAACAAAATCCAAAAACCCACAGAGTTAAGAAAAGACCTTACCCTGACAAGTTGGTAATGAGTCACTCCAGTTCCCAGTTGCCAAGCAGCCCACTGTTTTTGTCTCAGCCAAGGCAAAGCCAGCTTCACAGGTAAATTCACAAACAGACTGGAAAGCAAATTCTTCAATGGGATGAGAGCAGGTCATTTCCCCCTTTTCAGGGCTTTGCAGACTGTGGCATTTCACAGCTGAGGAAGAAAAGGTTTGGAAATTGTTCTGAGCCCGGGTTACATACCTATGTAGCAGATTTTACCCCACCCTTCCGCCAAGGAATACAGGGAATCACTGTGATTTATGGCTGCTGTATTTATAGTCAACGAGAATACAAATGGTCCTTACATATTACATAGATAACAGACAAATATCAAAACTAATAATGTGATCCTGTATCACAAAATTTAGAAAAGTCCCATCCTTGTGATATTGTACAACAGCTTCTGTAATAAGTTGTAGTAAGTTGACAAGCATCTAGATGTAAGCCCGTTCCATAGGTGATCTTCCTCAGGAGTTATTCATAGTAGATCTTCCTCAGAAATTATCTCCCTCTTATTTATATAAAATACTTCTACAAGTATCACAAGGATGGGACTTTTCTAAATTTTGTGATACAGGATCATATGTGATTTTTTTCTGTTATCTATGTAATACTGTGTTTCCCCGAAAATAAGACACTGTCTTATATTTAATTTTTCTCAAGAAGACACACTAGGGCTTATACCACAAATGCATAGAAATCCTGCTAGGGCTTATTTTTGGGGTAGGTCTTATTTTCGGGGAAACAGGGTATATAAGGACCACTTGTATTTTCATTAACTATACAGTAGCCATAAATCACAGGGATTGCTTGTTATTAGGTGTTTACACTGTGATCCCGTTTTTCTGCTCCAAGGAATGCAGGGCAGAGTACATGGCTTTCCTTTCCACATTTTATCCTTATAACACACCCTGTGTTATAGGTAGATTAGGCAGAGGGAGAATGACTGGCTGAACATAAAGCAAGTTTTAGGGCAGAAAGGGAATATATTTCGATTTTCATCCATGACTGGTACATCTTGATTCTCTAACAGCACATTCTAAAGATCCATAAAAGAAAAGAAAAAAACCCTCTCTTTTATCTTTAATACATTTCTCGCCCTCTAATTCTTCAAACTCATGAATCATCAATTCACTTTTCCCCATTTCCTTAATGTTTCCTTAATGTGTAATAATGGAGGTGGAGATGGGGGAATGATCTTTGATCAGTGATCATTATAAAAACAGGAAGGCTTTAAGTATGTCCCTATTTTCATCTGTGAAATGCTGATGAGAATAGCCCTATTCACACCACACTGAAAATGCCACAAAAAGGTACACCCACCAGAATAACATGTTATTGGGCACAGGACTGGGAAAAATATGAGATCAGCTGCAAGGCAATCTTTAGCACAGTTATACCCCTCTGAGTCCATCAATTTCTATTGGCATAATTCTGTTTAGGATTGCATTGAAAGGTTCCCAAAGACTTACTGCTAACATTTAAATATTTGAAGAGCTTGGTGCTCGGTGCAGAACTAAAAGTGTGACGCTGACTCTTCCTCCCCCTGCCCCTGTTTTCCCATGACTGCCTTAGTTGTTCCTTTGCAAGGCACTGAATAATCAAGGGGGCCATATTCAAGAAACTGGAGAAATGCCAGTTATTATAGCAAGTCTGCTCAGCACTGACCTTCACAAACGGGTGGTTTCTCTGTCCACAGACCCAGGGCTGTGCACTGTAGCCTTTCCTGTCCAACTCTCACAAACCCCATATCGCAGGAGAAGGTGCAGACCGAACTGTACGCAAAGCTTCTGTGTGGATGAGAGCAGTTTAATCCTCCATTCCTGGGGGTATCCAACTTTGGGCAACCAATCACTGGAATGACACAGAAGGATGGTGAGAGGAAGGAACAGTTTGTACCCAGACTAGATTTCCCCATCCAGAGGAAAAGACTCACCAAAGCACAAAATGAAGCTGGTCTCCTAAGAAATGGAAGAAGCCAATTCTGGTTCCTGTGTGAATGACTGGGATTTTCCTCAGCCAAGACCAGTTTGTCTACTCTGACTGGCACCAGCTCTCCAGGGTATCGGGCAGAGGTCTTTCACATCACCTCCTATCTGATCTTTTTAACTTGGAGATGCCAAGGATTGAACCCAAGACCTTCTGTATACAAAGCAGACACTCTACCCCTGAGCCACAACCTCTAGGGTTGCCAGCTCTGGGTGGTGAAATACCTAGAGGTTTTGGGGGTGGAGCCTGGGGAGGGACCTCAGCAGACTACAACACCACTGAGTCTACCTTCCAAAGCAGCCATTTTCTCCAGGGAATCTGATCTCTGTGGTCTGGAGATCAACTGTGATAGCAGGCGCTCTCCAGGCCCCACCTGGGGGTTAGCAACCCTAACTGTCCCCTGGTTTACTTCTTTGTACAAAAGTGTTGTACATGAAGCACATTTTTAGATTTCCCCTCACACACACACAGGTTTGCATACCCACCAGAAAACGAGTTTGCTGGGCATGACTGCAAACTGTGCACCTTAACTCTGAAACAGCTGAACTCCAGATTTGTTCTGTACATTTTATTTCTTGATTTGCAGGATTTTAGAAATTCAAAAGGTTACAGCCAGGGAATCTTACAGACTAATGAAATTCTGGAGATTGGGTGACACGTAATGCCGACAAATCTGGCTTGGGAAATTCCCGGAGGGTGGGGTTTGGGGAGAGGAAGGGGGCTCAGTGGGGATGTAATACCATTGAGTCCACCCTCTGAAGATGCCACGGGAAATGATCTCTGTGTTCCGGAGACCAATTTTAATTTTTTTGATTACTCCATGCCGTGCCTGGAGGTTTATAACCCTAGGCACGTGTCAAGGGTGAAGGGACTGTATTTTGTGCATGAAGCACTGCACATGGGAACCATTAAAAGGCCTCATGGGATCCTTCTCATTAGAGCTGAGGGATCGTCTCTGTGTGCTCAAATGCAGCACTGTCCCCAGTGCAGGACTTGATATTGTTCCATAGGAATGGTTGGTAGTCATTCATTTGAGTAAAGGCAGGGGTCATTTCCTGCAGGAGCGCACAGGAGCAGAGCTCCAGCAGTAAAGAGCCCAGGGGGCGGCCACATGCAACAAGTCCCACCCCCTGCTCCCAGCAGCCCTCAGTCAGAGCAAGAAGCAGCCAGGTAAGTTGCAGAGTCGTCCCCCCTCTGCCCCCCCGGCCCAAAACAGTCTAGTGGCACCTTTAAGACCAAGTTTTATTCAGGTACAAGCTCTCCCTCCTCTGCGAGGACAGATCTGCGAGGACAGACCTCCTCTGCGAGGACAGATAGCTAGCAATCCAAAACAGTCCAGTGGAGCCTGAGCGGTGGGTGTTGCCTTCTGACACACTTCCAGTGATGTCAGGGGGTGTGGCATGTGCAAATAAGTTATGCTAATGAGTTATACTAATAAGCTCCTGTACCACTTTTTCTACGAAATGACCCCTGAGTACTCAGAAACATTACTTAGGGTATGATAAACATGACTCCTGCCCTGGTGACCTCAAGATGTGCAGAAAGGCCATGCACTTCTTGTTCCTTTGTTGTAACTAAGAATGTGCCCTATTAAACTCAACTGGTCTTGACAGAGTAATTAACGCAGCAACGGTGCACAACCTGATTAAAGAGTAGATAAAGGTTTATTTAGGAACTAATATACTTGATAAGAAAGAGGCGAGACAGATATAGGTTCCTAACTACATCTCTAGTTGAGAGAAAGAGTAGAACTGAGTGTGGCACTTCTGAGAAGAAGGGGGAAATTGCCCTAAGATTAGCAATCTGGAGACAGGCAAGAGGAGAGAAAGTGCTGACCTCACTATTCTATCTAATTGTCTTCTTGCTGCCCCCCCGCAGGGTCCTTGTCTCTTCTTTTTTGTACACCAGACATTGCTTTTTCCAACAGCTGGTACTCAGCAATTCCTATCTGCAGAGTCTCAGCTCCTTCATTTGTATACTCCTTAATTTTTGGATTCTGTTTGCACATTGTAAATCCAGAATCTGATAGAACTCTTGAACATGGTTTATTATGTACATACACAGAGAGAATCAAGGAAACATGCAGGTATTCCTATACACATTCAGGTAAGATAAAAGTCTCTATCTGGGGTAGAAACTTCCAAAAATATTTTATAAGAAAACATAGTGTGGTGGAGGAATCGAATGAACTCCTGTCTTCCCAAATGGACCTAGTTAGTGTATGCAATTTAGTCTTAACCTTGGCCATCCTCCCCTCCCATGCTGCTTTCTCAGTTTAAATCATCACCCCAAAGCTGCTGTTTGCTCCACTGGAGAAAAAGTACAGGTATCCTATCCGTATCTTTTCCCTTGCAGTGCAAATAGAAACTCTAAGCAGGGAGAAAGAAGAAGAAGAAGAAGAAGAAGAGATTGGATTTATACCCCGCCCTTCACTTGGAGTCTCAGAGCGGCTTACAAACTCCTTTCCCTTCCCCTCCCTACAACAGACACCCTGTGAGGTGGGTGGGGCTGAGAGAACTCTGACACAAACTGTTCTTTTTCAAGGACAGCTGTGCCAGAGCTTGTGACTGACCCAAGGTCACATCAGCAGGTGCAAGTGGAGGAGTGTGGAATCAAACCCGGTTCTCCCAGATTAGAGTCCGCGCACTTAACCACTACACCAAACTGGCTCTCGAAGAAAGATTTGCAATGGGAAAGTTCTGCAAGACAAAGATGTAACAAAGATGTAACTTTTTTTCCCAGTGTCATAGCCCTGATATGATTTGGGATCCTTGCTGAGTGCTCTTTTTAAATCTTTAAAACTGGATGATCCAGTGATACACCTCTGACTCTCATATCTGCTATGCCAGACATGAGAGCAAAGAAAAGCTATTGTGAAAATAAAAAGCACCAAACCTTGACAAACTGGTGGGGGTGATGTCCACTCTCCAGTTGCTGTGCATGAAGTCACCTCTTCTCCAAGCAGCTGAAAGCCTTCAGTACAACGGAAGGTGCATCTGGACTGATACTGAAACTCCCCATGGAAATGGGAGCAGGTGAAGTTTCCATGAATGGGGACCCCCAGGGGCTGGCACTGAACAGCTAAGAAAGAAAACAGGTCACTGAAGCATGGCTGGAAACCAGCAACCATTTCTAAGAGAGCTGAATGGGATTTGAAAGTAGAATGCCTTCCCATGAGATACACACTTCTCTCTTTTGTCAGGCCATTACCTCTGACCAAACCCTGTTTAGCAGAGGAGAAACTGTGATATGTATGTGCACCGTCAGTCTCCAGCCTGAGGCTCAATCCAGATGTAAGAGCAGCAGGCCTGAGCTTAAAATTGGGTCTGATGACATATAAAGCACAGGAGTGGCAGGGAGGGAGCAAATGTCAGGTGTATGGGCAGGTGCAATGGACAAAGTGAGCTTCTTTCTTCTCATCCCATAAGCACTGCCCTCTCCAAAACCATGCCAAGAGTAGTAGTTTCAGGGCAAAAAGTGGAAGCGGGGTGGTTCTGCATTAGTAACTGAACTGTCTGGCTTTCCCACGTGCTTCATCAAAACTCTCCAACAAAGTGGTCCCTTCCTGGCAGGCAACTCTCTTCCTAAGAGCAGCTGAACTCATCCGAGAGCCAGTTTGGTGTAGTGGTTAAGTGCGCGGACTCTAATCTGGGAGAACCGGGTTTAATTCTCCGCTCCTCCACTTGCACCTGGCTGGATGACCTTGGGCAAGCCGTAGTTCTGATAAGAGCTGATCTTTTTTTAAAAAAATTTTTTTTTATTTCCCTCTCCTAAAAAGGAGAGAAGTTTCGCTTTAGAAATCAGGAAAAAAGGGAAGGGTATATAGAGGGACAAAGAAAAGTGTGAGTGATGTTAATACAGGTATATTAATCTGTCAGTATTAAAGGCAAAGTTCAAATCACGGTGTGCGTCTTCTTCTGTAGTTGGGTAATCATCTGTTTCTTCGTTCTCCTTTCAAATCGGGCAATTAGTATGTTAGTAAAGTCCAGGATGACCGTGGCCCCGCCCCCAGCGTGCCCGGCGTGGTCGCGTCACTTCCGGGTGACGTGCACGTCGGGGTGGGGTTCCCCCCGGGGCCCGATCCGCCGCCGGCGGGGAACGGGCCTCTGGGGCGGGGGTTTCCCCGCCCCCCGGGGGGACTTGGCAAGCCTATTCCCCACTCCTCCACTTGCAACTGCTCGATGACCTTGAGCAACCCATAGCTCTGTCAGAGCTGTTCTCTCAAGGACAGTTCTGGGAAGAGCTCTCTCAGCCACACCTACCTTACAGGGTGTCTGTTGTGGGGAGGGGAAGGGAAAGGAGTTTGTAAGCTGCTCTGACACTCCCTTGGGTAGTGAAGGGCGGGGTATAAATCCAATATCTTCTTCTTCTCTTCTTTGGTTCAGCTTCCCCTTGCGGCTCATCCATACTATTCCTTCACTCCTCACCTCATTTCCACACTTTATATCAATTCAGCTGGGCCTGATTTAGGTCGGTTACTATTACATCCAGCAAGGATTCAATCAGATGAAAATGCCTATTGCAGGCTTGTGCAGCCTCAGTTTGCCTGGGGTCTGTGCTGTTGGAAGTGAAGGACTTTGCACTGTCTCTTAGCCTCAGACTACAAAGGAGGACTACAAGAGAGTCAGAGAGATAGATAGGCTAGGACACTCAGCACCCTTCTCTCATCTGATGCTATCCCTTTGATGTGTAGATTCTTACTCTTAGGGAAAACTTCCTTCCTTCCACTTTGACTCTCCCCACTTTGCCAGACTTCTCCATCTTGGCAGCATGACAGCAGGACATGGCTCCTGTTATCTCCATCCATCTTGGCTAGTTAGCCTAGACTGGAAATCTATCTCTACTCTATCCTGTCTAGAATGGAGTTCCTTAAATAAAAAGGACTCGTATTAATTTGCAAAGATAAAAGGCTCCGTGTGTAACTTTGTTTTCTGGACAGCCCACACTAACCAGATTGGCTTTGCTGCGTTGTAAGCCTTGAGCACTCTGCTAACCAACTAATCCAATATGTGCAAGGATGGGAGATCAGGTTCAACGATCACTTGGTTCCACTGTTCAAACTGGGTTCCCCCACTCTGCTCTTAGCATTTAAAGGAAAACACACACCTATATTCTCCTTTAAAATGCTAATAGAAGAGTGAGGCGGCTAGTTTTCACTGAAACTGGGTATAAATTAAACCATCTTTCTCCTGCACAGCCCTGAGACAAACTGAGGCTGCATGAGGCTCCAATTTGCATTTCACAGACAGACAGAGATTGCAAGATCTTTGTCTTGCTTGATCCCTTGGGTAACTAGCTTTTGGGATAATGAAACAGTTTCTACAAACTCTGGGCTTTGACATAGTACAAACATTTCCCTGAGTCACAGACCTGCTTGTTGACTATCGTTCCCCCCCCCTTCCCATAACAATAATCTCAACAGCAGGAGTGCTAGGTGTATATTAGCTGCAGTAAACCTGTAACAGCAAACTGAGAAGGATGATTCCCCTATGTAGCTGTAGAATCTAGGTTAGATACCATACCATGACAGATGGGTACGTCTGCTGTCCACTGACTGGTTGCACTGCAGTGCAAGGTGTTCAAGCCACTGAGCTGAAATCCATCTTCACAAGCAAAGCTGCAAGTGGAGTTGTATGCGAAGTCACCCAACGGATGTATGCAGTTCATTGTTCCTCTTGCAGGAGATTCTATGTTCTCACATTGCTTGACTAGGAAAATAAAAAAGAGTAGGAGTCAGATCAGAAAGCATGAGTAAGAAATAGAACATATGGTGACCCATAGGTGTAATCTTCGTCGGGGCGTCAGCCCTCCCCCCCAAAATTTTCAGGAAGGTGCTCAGCCTCCCCTGGCTCGGGGGGGGGGGGGGGGGGGACACCTCTCTGGGGAAGGCTGATGCCCCGACGCCCCCACGCAGATTACGCCTATGCGGTGACCAAGTCACCAAGTGACGTTCCAAAGCAGAGTTGGGATTACATTAGACTATTCTGGTTCTCAGCTCTCCCTTCCTCTTCTCAGGCAAGTTTCAAAACTCATGCAGAAGCAAGCCACTCAGGAGAGCTGTGTGATGGTCACCACCAGGCCCAGCCAAGCTATGCAGGTTGTGCAGTGGCTGCTACTGGGTCCAATAAGTTGTGGGGCATCAAGTCATCCAGTAGGCACTGTTGGAGCTGGATGAGTCATACAAGTTGCATGGTAGCAAGTTGCCTGGGATGGTTGCTGCCAGGCCTTATCCTGATGAGTCCTCCAGGACAGGGGCAAGGTAGCTGGGGTGGGTTTGGAAGAAAAAACAGCCTTGGGAAAGGCTGTGGCCCCTTCACTCTGCCTTTTACTAAAGAAACCAAGGCTTGAAGGCTGGCAATATTATTGTGATTGCTTTGCAACTCCTATAATGTCCACTGAAATCTTAGATGGCATTCATTTTTTAAAGCTATAGGTGCTGTGTCTATTATTTTTGGGGGGGTAACTCCCAACTATATGTTTTTAGATTTTTCTGCAACCCAGTGTTTTTTTCAGGTTTGTATAAAGATCTGTCTTTTTTAGTCATGGCCCCAAGCTATGGACTTAAGGATCCAATATAGGATCATACTGGGAATTATATATAATGATTTCAGAATAAGTGCATTTAGGGTTGTCTGTTTTTACTGACATTGATCCACATTTGTAGCCTGACAAGTAGAATTTTTTTAAATTAAGGTTTTCTTTTTATTTTACCACCATACTAGAAAAAGCTTCATCTTAATTTCCACATATCAGGTGTCTGTTAATAACACACGAGCCAGGGCCAGTAGAAAAGTGACAACCCCAAATGCATCATGTCCACCAGCATTAGTTCAGAATCCTCCAGAGTTATGAAAATGATATGCAAAGCATGTTAGTTGCAGTTTTCCACATCATATTTCTGGTGTTGGCCTTTGATGGACTCCCATCAAGTGGATCCCCTTGTTCAATTGTCGAACCTCCCAAGTACTGAACTCTAATGCAGGAATGTTAGAACAGAATTTAGGGATAAGTACAAACCTTGGCATATTGGCTCTGGGGAAGTCCATTCACCAGATGCTTCACATACACTGGTCTCTGCTCCATGTACTACAAAGCCCTCTCTGCAGTTAAAATGGCAAATAGACTGGTACAGGAATTCCCTATGGATGGGAGAACAGTGGCGCTCACCATATGCAGGGGTATTTAATGGTCGGCACTGTACATCTAACAAAGAGGAAAACAAAGCAAGAAGTCAGTTAGGCATTACTACTATGATTACTGTTATCATCACCATTATCACAACAACCTAAAATTAGACATGGGGAGTCAATGGAGGCAAAATGAACATAAGAACATAAGAGACGCTAATGTTGGATCAGGCCAAAGGCCCATCCAGTCCAACACTCTGTGTCACACAGTGGCCAGAAATACCAGGTGCCATCAGGAGGTCCACCAGTGGGGCCAGGACATTAGAAGCCCTCCCACTGTTGACCCCCCCCAAGCACCAAGAAGACAGAGTATCACTTGCCCCAGAGTCCCTATCTATACCTTGTGGCTAATAGCCACTGATGGACCTCTGCTCCATATGCTTATCTAATTCCCTTTTGAAGCCGTCCATGTTTGTAGCCGCCACCACCTCCTGTGGCAGTGAATTCCATGTGTCAATCACTCTTTGGGTGAAGAAGTACTTCCTTTTATCCGTTCTAACCCAACCGTTGCCATGATCTTTCAGACTCTATTTTGCTTTGATCGTTGACTGACCCATCTGTTCAGTCAAACCCAAAACATCCCGGAAAGCCCTTGTCTGAGTTGTTTCAGAGGGTATTTGCAGGATAAAGAAGATGAGCAGAGCAGAAGACAATCTGTAATGACCTCCAAAATGCCCTCTCATTAACAGCCTTGCTCAGGTCTTGCAGACTGAGGGCCTTTGTGGCTTCCTTGATTGAGTCAATCCATCTCGCGTTGGGTCTTCCTCTTTTTCCACTGCCATCAGCTTTTCGTAGGATGATTGCCTTTTCTAGTGAGTCTTCTCATGCTGTGACCCAAGTATGATAGGCTGCTTCACATGCTCTAATTTTAGCCATCACAGAACAATGGCTAGGTCACCTGATGTGGACAATCCAAAAAGGAGACACAGAGTGTACTCTGTCTTTCTGTGTTGTACCTCTGAGGACGCCAGTCACAGCTGCTGGCGAAATGTCAGGTCCTGCAATGCCAAGACTACGGCCAAAGAACCTGGAAAATCTACAACTAATGAACTCCTGCTGTGAAAGCCTTCGACAACAAAAAGGAGAAATCTGGCATAACGGACAAGCCAGACTGCAATTCACTCAGATCAAGCTATGCCACTATTATTCTACATATTTTGATCCAATCAAGGTGCTCTTTGGCATAATACTCTGTCATTTTGCCTTAGGCTTGCCTAACAAAAGACCACCACTGAATTAACATCAACTCAAAACGTCATGAGTTTTAATAACAATTGACCTCTTTTTTAAATCTCTAACATACCTTTTTCTCTCATATGGCACATTTTCTGCTGTGGAAACCCCTCTTGGTTGCACATCCTCTCCATCCCAAATCCTTCCTCTCTCTCCTGATTGGAGAAGGTCCCAGAATCTAAGAATTCCCTCACCTCCTCCCCACCCCATCCCCAACCTTTCTGTTTTCCCCACCTCTTTCCAAGCCAGAGAAATACTTTTTTTTTTGTTTCTCTGTTCATACATCTAAGTATTCCCCAGTTCCCCAAGTCTTGAGCTGGATCTTGGATCCTGAGCTGTAACTTCTGCATTCACTGAAGTTCTGTCTCATTTGTCAAACCCAGCTCAGCTCGGGGAAACCAGGAGCGCCATCAGGCTGTGTGAGAACATGCGTGTGTGAAATGCAACCAATTGCACTGCACCCTACTGCCTGTCGAAGTAACCTGTTGGAAAAGCTTGAGCTGCTTGACAAAAGAATGAGCTCACAGCTAGCAAGCAGAAAGAGAGCTGCCTTCCGAGTGCTGGCACCCCATCAGTCACAACAGCCACGTACCTGCACACTGTGGCATCTGCGCTGTCCAATTCCCATAAGGGGAGCACTGCAAGGTGTCTGTCCCACTCACTTCAAAGCCTTTGTCGCAACTAAAGAAGCAGCTGGATTTGTAACTGAAGTACCCCAGAGGATGGCTGCAGTTCATGGACAGTGGCCTATGGACAGCATCAATCTCCCTGCACTTTACAACTAAATGGAAACAAAGAAATGTCAGTTTATGCCATCATTACTGTTCAATGTACTTTATTTTAGAACACACACACACCATGAAAGGTACTCTTTGGGTGATTTCCCACAAGCGCTGCTCCGTGCTCACTCTTCTCTTTGGCCTGATGGTGTGTGTCAATTTCACACAAGCTGCTGCGCAACCGCATTTTGCCCCACAGCTTCGTGCGATTTTCCCCGCGAGTAGACGCGGGGAAAATTGCACAAAGCTGCAGGGCAAAATGCGGCCACGCAGCAGCTTGTGTGAAATTGACACGTACCATCGGGGCAAAAGGGAGGAGTGAGCGCGGAGCAGTGCTTGTGGGAAATCACCGAGTTTATTAAAATGGTCTTTGACCAGAACAAATCACAAACGCCTGAATCACATGATCATAAGAGGAATACAATGGAGAAAAAGCAATTAGCTAATCAAAAAAATATGATCAGATTAAAATTAAATGTGTTAAAAAGTTACTAAATTATTAAAACTTATTAAAATTGTTAAAATTCATCTAAAATGCATAAAGCTTTCTGGCAAATTTTACAAGCAGCTATGACAAATTTTGCACTAAGAGCTGTAATCTGTGGATTTTCACCTATAAGTAACTTTTTAACAGACTCCAAATCCAGGCAAACAGGATATGTTCTAACTAAAGGAAGAATAAACTTAGAATGGATTTCTTGATATAAAGGGCAGTAGAGTAAAACATGTTCTGTTGTTTCAACCTACTCAAAATTCTTGCCTGGAGAAGAGTTCTGGAGAACATGAGCTCCCATAACCCTTGTCCACTAAAGTGTATAATCTGAATCGTGGCAACCACTTCAGTAACAAGTTTTCATTTTCCCCAAAGCACGGCTTATCAGTTGGAAGAGACAAAGTACCACACAGTGAAAGCAGAGTAAGAAAGTAACAATGCAATCCTAAGTAGAGATACACCTTTCTAAACCCATTGATTTCATGTAACTCAGTTTAGGATTTCACTGTAAGTAAAGTAGTATCTCTCTTATCTGGAACTTCATGCTCTATTGGTCACTCCATTCTACAGCATACACTGCTGAAACCTCCTGTGTTTATAACGTATAAGTCAACAAAGTGGCTTCCTGATAGACTTCTTCACAGACAAAATAGGAGGGTTGTTCGGTCAATTTCCCCCCAGTAATAGCACAGAGCAATGATAGATACAGAACTTGTATAGAATGGTAATTTAGAGCTCCTCTCAACCATGAATTCACTGAGTCGCCCCTCTCTCTCTATTTCAGGCATGTCCAACTTCGAACAGGTAGTGATCTATTTTTTCCAGCCAAAAGTGCAGGTGATCTACCACCATGGAAATAAAGTTTCAAATTAGTTTCAAATTAGATTTTAACCCATTAAAGTTGGGTTCCACGCCCCCCCCCCATTTATAATGCACCTTCTGTTATTTAGTAAAGGTAAAGGTTCCCTTGCTCGAAAGCCAGTCGAATCCGACTCTAGGGTTGCGGTGCTCATCTCCGTTTCAAAGCCGAAGAGCCAGCGCTGTCCGAAGACGTTTCCGTGGTCATGTGGCTGGCATGACTAAACGCCGAGGCGCATGGAACGCTGTTACCTTCCCACCGAAGAGGTACCTATTTATCTACTTGCAATTTCTTGCTTTTGAACTGCTAGGTTGGCAGGAGCTGGAACTAGAGATGGGAGCTCACTCCATCATGCGGCACCCGGGTCTCGAACTGCTGAACTACTGACCTTCCACAGCCTGAAGTTCAGCGTCTTAACCACTGGAGCCACCGCAGCTCCATATTTTTACTGGTAAGCAAAATAAGCAAAAACAAAACAGAGAGAAGAAGATCCAGAAAGGACCACCAAACAATCATTAAAAACCCCAACAAACACCTGTCCAGCAAACCAGGAGACCAAGTGGGGCTGGTGATCTACCTCTGACCCCTCCGGGATCTACTGGTAGATCACGATCAACCTGTTGGACATACCTGCTCTATTTCATCTCTCTTCTGTGGTATGGATGCCCATTGTGGTGTAGTGGTTAAAATGTCATCCTAGAATCTTGGAGATCCAGGTTCAATTCCCTAACTCAGCTACAGAAATTCTCTGGGTGACCTTGGGACACTCTTAGCCTAACCCACATTGTTCGGTGGTTGTTGCAGTGGTAAAATGGGGGAGATGGGAATGATGTCCTTAAATTGGGAAGAAAAGCAGGGTATAAACATCTGAATAAATTAATAATACTGACCAGACGTACTGTGTCATTGCCAGAATAACTTATGTGAAAGCATTGCACGGCTTTAACAGAGAGTAGATAACATCATGGAGGACGGGTGGCTGTGAGCCATGATAACTAAATGGTCATCTTTGAAGGCTCTCAATTCCAATGGATGGGGGACAAGAATGAGGACAAGACTTTGGCCTGTTTGCTTTGCTTGTGGGCTTCCCAAGGACATCTGTTTGGCTGCTGAGGGGGAAAGGATGCTGGAATGGCTGAGTCAGGATCTGATCCATCAGGGCTTTTCTGATTTGCTCCTAGGGTTGCCAAGTGCTCGGTGTACGCAGGAAGTGACGTGCTACGTGCTCACGTTGGGGGCGTGGCCCATATCGTCGGGGGGGAAACCATATGGTTTCCCCCCCCCGG